GTGGTGGCTCACGTCTGTAATTCCAGCACTTTGGGAGGCCAAGGTGGGTAGATCACCTGAGGTCAGGAGTTGGAAACCTGCCTGGCAAACATGGTAAAATCCCACCTTTACTAAAAATGCAAAATTAGCCAGGCATGGTGGCGCGCATCTGTAGTCACATCTACCCAAGAGGCTGAGGCAGGAGAATTGCTGGAACCTGGGAGGCAGAGGTCACAACGAGCTAAGATCATGCCACTGCGCTCTAGCCTGGGCTATAGAGGCGAGACTCCATCTCAAAAAAAAAAAGAAAAGAAAAATATCTTATAGTGATATCCTAACAAGGAACACTATCATGTGTATCTTTCTCAATTTTCAGCATAATATTACTATTACATTTATTCTGTGTCAAACGTGCTAAATGCCCTGTGTACATTTCCTCTTTCTCATGACATTCCTGATTATGCAACTGAGGGAATTGTGTAATCAGAAACATGAGGGAATAAGAATCTGTTAAAAAAAAATGGCCAGCAACTTGATATTAATAAAAGATTGGGCACATTTGGGAAAGTGATAGTAAGGAAGCTAAATAGGTAGAATGGATCCAGATCCCACTTAACAGATGTTAACTGTGGCTCAGAAGAGTTAAGTTGCCTCAAATATTGGAAATAGGATTTGAATCCAGGAGTGTCTAATCCAGTGCTCAGGCTAATTTCTACATTATTCTGCTTTCACATAATACACGTGCAATCATTTTATAAACTCATAAACTCCTTTTACTGAAATAAACACTATTTTCATGTAAAATGGAGTTTGATGATAACAATACCATTCTAGCAATATTCCTATATTAACCATAAAATTCCCAGTACTTTATTTTAATATAGCTTTTTCTCTTTTTTTCTTCCTTTTTCTTTTTTTTTTTTTTTTTAGTTGGAGTCTCACTCTGCCACCCAGGCTAGAGTGCAGTGGCTTGATCTTGGCTCACTGCAGTGTCTATCTCCTGGGTTCAAGCAGTTCTTCTGACTCAGACTCCCAAGTAGCTGGGATTACAGGTGCCTACCACCACACCCGGCTAATTTTTGTGATTTTAGTAGAGACGGAGTTTCACCTGGTGGCCAGGCAGGTCTTGCACTTCTGACCCCAAGTGCCACCTGCCTCAGCCTCCCAAAGTGCTGGGATTATAGGCGTGAACCACTGCTCCCAGCCTAATGTAGCTTTTTCTGATGAACTCAAATGGGTCCATGATAGACTAATTGTAAAATTCAGACCAAAAAGGAAGAAAGCAAAATTAGTTTTGAAATACTTTTTCTATACAGTAAAATAATATATATAATCTCCTTTTTCACATGATATAAACCTATTTTCATGTCACAACACACTCTACTGTAATATATTTAACCATCCTTGCATTATTAAACCATACTGTAATAAACATATGTCTTTTGTAAAGTTTTCCTTCTTTTCATATGTAGAAATTTTGAGTAATATGATAAACAACTTACTTTGTTTTTCAGGAGATGATTTTTCTTTGATTCAACAAGAAATATTTATGGTTAAAGAATGTAAACATTGTAACATCGTTGCCTACTTTGGGAGTTATCTTAGGTAAGAGAAAAAATCCATCTTCTCTCTCTGTATTTTATGTACTCTTTGCTACCACACTCCCTCTCTTCCATGTAAGTGCTATTATATATGTATGTTTTTAAACACTGTTCAAAGTTCTAAATTTTCTAGGGTCTTCCCCTATTATATATTAATAATGACATTCCCATTTTCATAGTTATAGCTTATCTGGCAACTTAAATGAAACATTATAAGTGATTAAAAGTAAGTATTTTAACTTATAAAACTGATCGTATTCTAAACCACTTGAGATGGGAACAAAGCTGAAATTAACATGCTTTTCTGTATATTGAAGTGACAGTGCATAGCAATTTCCTGTTGCACTTTGCAGTCCATCCTGAACCTTGGTGTGCTAAAGAGCGAGAGCCTTAGAGTATTTCAGTGATTCAGAATTACTAGCTAATATAATTTTCTTTCTTTTTTATATTAGTCGGGAAAAACTATGGATTTGTATGGAATACTGTGGTGGCGGATCGCTTCAAGATATTTACCATGGTATGTTAATTTGACCTTACATTTTAAACAGACTTTGATTTTAATGATTGTTGTTAGATATTTCCAGTTAACCACGGAAATTAACAGGTAGATTTACTATTTTTGCATTCTTCTGTTCCTGGAGCACTGCTAACAGAAATCTATGTTTATTTTTTAATTGGTTAGTCAGTTAAACTTGCCTGAGCCTGAACTTAGAAATGCAAAAATATTTGTATAATCCAAATTTTACTCTTTAGATATAATCTCTAAGAAAGTGTTTTATCTACAAATGAAACTTCCTAAATTTCCTTGTAAATAAAAATTAAAATGCAAAGGGTAACTCACAGAAAGGAAGTTATATGTCTGTCTTAATAACTTAACCAGACAACCAGCAAAGCAATTTACTTGTTAATGTAATATTTTTGTATTAATATGTATTAGTTTCAAGTATTTTATTTACTATTCTGTTAATTTAGGCAGTTTTCTGAGTTGAACATGATGTTACATTCTAATACTATTTAGAAAGTTTTAGTTTGTGCTCTACTGTTTAGCTTTTGTTTTGCTGCTGGCAATTTCTTGAATTTCTAGAATTTATGAGACTAAACATAGATCATTATAATTTTTCTTCTCCTTGTTTCACATGGATATGGGATAGTAAAATTCCCATTGCAACTATTCATTACATAATTCATTATGAAGAATTATGTGAAACATTTTTAAACATTTGTATGCTTAAATATTACAAATCTTTATATTGGAGACCTTATCAAATTTCAGTCATGCAGTTTACAAATGCAGCCACAATAGATATAAAAATAGAAGTACTATTTCACTTCAAATGATATTTTATAACTTACAGAGCTCAGTTTTAAAAAGTCAATCAATAGACAGTGGTTAAATAAACTACTCTTCAACGTGCAATATGGAATACTGTGCAACACTTAAAAAGGTGAAGTTACTTCATAGTTATTGACCTGTGTATATCTCTCTAAGGCTTGTTTTTAAATGGAAAAAGTGACTTGTGAAAGAATATGTATAACATACTTGGTCATATTTAGGCTTTTAAAAATTATTTTTTTGTAGGTATATATAATGTAAATGTATAGCAAAATCAAAGGATGCCTACCAGTTTAATAAGTCATTACCAGAGGAGAGGGAAAGCAAAGCACAGAAGCAAAATTCTAAATTATAAAAATGTATCAATATAGTTCTTAATCATCAATTTTAAAATGTAGTAATTATCTAATTTTGTCACAGCAAATAATCCATAGCAAAAATTCTGACTGATATCTAAACACTGATCACTACCTCTTTATTAACAAAAGTTTTTGACATCACATAAATGTTACAAATATACAAATTATTATGATTTAGGCTATCTCTTATGCATATGGATTTAAAATTCTCTGTGCCACTGGATTAAATTTTTTTTCTATGATTTTATAAAGAATTGCTAACTTCTCATGCCTGTAATCCCAGCACCTGGGAAGCCTAGGCAGGTGGATCACTGGAGGTCAGGAGTTTGAGACCAGCTTTGCCAACATGGTGAAACCCTATCTTTACTAAAAATACAAAAATTAGCTGGATGTGGTGGCAGGCGCCTGTAATCCCAGCTATTTCGGATGCTGGGGCAGGAAAATTGCTTGTATCTGGGAGGTTGCTGTGAGCCAAGATTGTGCCACTGCACTCCAGTCTGGGCAAGAGAGGAAGACTGTAAGTTAGTTAGTAAGTAAGTAAGTGAGTAAATAAATAAATGGAATTGCCATCTTTTCTGTGAAAAGTTTTTATTTAGTAATTGTAATTTTTATCCATTCACATTTTTATAAAATGAGAGAACTCTTAAAACTGTATGGATAAATCAAGCTATATAGCTTTTTTAAGTTTAAAGAATAGCTTTGAAACATTAATTTTAATTTTTATGAAATTTGGCTTTCTTTTATTAAACCTGATATTTGTTGAATTAAATTGAACCTAAGTAGTACCCATTCCAGTAGTTAGTATACTAGATAGCATAATAATCAAGAACATCTACACTTATAATTAGATGTTGTTAAGAAAGTGACTTTTCTTCTTTTACTACTATTATAAGGTTACTGAGAATCAAAATTTTGTATTCCTGAATGGACATAGAGAGCCAGTGATTAAAATACAGAGTAGAATATTTCTCTAGGTGAAGAATACACATGACCACCTGATTTGGTTTCACTGTCAGCAGATACCACCCCAGATTTATTCTCATGCTGTTAAAAGGCATAGTTCCAAAGCCTCTGGTTGAGTACTTGAAATAAGAATTTTATATTTCATATTAGGGAGAGATCTGGTTGCCAAAAGTGACATGGGTACTTTTTAAATTCTTGGATAAGGTACTGGATCAAGTCTCCCTGTTTTGATAGATTCGATAAACAATTATACTAAAGAAATAGTATCTTGATCTTTAAAAAAGTATATGATGCCTTTTAACATATGGGAACAGTCAGTCTCTTTATGGTTCTCTATTTCTCTATATAACTGTAATTAGTTATATATATTTCTTTATTTTTGAAAAATTGTTCAGGATTGCTTTCTGCAGACCTTCCTATGATGCATACCACTATGCTTTACACATGAGTGCTTAGTATTTTCAGGGACCAACATTGTTATGGAGTTAAATCTTTTATTTTTAAAGTACATTCGAAAAAATTCTCAGTGTTACCCTTTTTTCTGTTTCTTGATGACAAAAATAATATATGCTCACAGAAGAGAAGTTATCCAACAATATATAAAGAAGAAGTTTTATAATAGTTTGTCATTTTTTAAGTAGACTGTTTTTAATCTGTTAGGTTCAAATGTGTAACAATGTGGGCTCTTTTTCTTTCTAGTTACTGGACCGCTATCAGAATTGCAAATAGCCTATGTATGCAGAGAAACTTTGCAGGTACTATATTTTCTTAAGTAGTTAGAAAGGCAGTACTAGATTGACAATTGATAACTATAACATGATAGTCTACCTTAATGAGAAAGGGTAAAACAAAGTGATTTTTCTGTTAATCTTTTATAATTCTGTAAAACTAGTTATTTTTCTTTATGAATGAATCACAAGAATTTATTTAAGCTGATGCTGACATATATAGTGATCATATGTGGAGTTCCACTTTGATGCTGATGCACACTGTGATCATGTGAGGTAGTGTACTTTAGAGCATATGGCCCTCAGTTGTGAAAATTGGTTTTCAAGAATGAATCACCAAACGTCTCAATTGTAGCAAGTTGTCTAAGCATTCCCTTCAAGTTTATGGCCATAAAAGAAAGCTGTTCCACAAGACATAAGGGCTTTTACTATTTCTCTTGAAATAAAATAAATTAGCACAACATTAACCCAGGGTATTATCTGAAAACCCTAGTTCTGTGTGATATTAACAAGTGTCATTGATAGCAGAATCTCTTTTTGTAAGTTTGGTTACCATTGCATTAAATAGGTTTCTTTACTTCAGGGCCTGTGAGAACTTTTAGTATGTTAAAATGGTTATGAATATTCAATAGGATACAGAGTATGTGGTATTTTTCCTAATTCAGTTATTCAGCCCTGAAAGACTACTCATTGAGAAAATTAGGAATTAACAATTTTATACATGTTCTTTAGGAGGAGGGAATAAGTAGTAGTGATTGTGGCTTTTATTTTTGTAATTTACAACTGATAATTGTTAATCAATCAATGCTTCTATCCCTACATTTCCTAGATTATGTAGTTTGTTTAGAAATGAAATTGATAATCTAAGTGTTGTTCTTTCATATTTTGCAAAATGGGAGATTGAGTTTATCTAATAAAAAGTTCTCTTCAGTTTTGAAGAGTTGGTTCCCACATGCTTTAAAAGACCTAATCACTGCCAAATCTTACTGAGAGATAAATAAAAGTAATTTATCTAACACACACACACACGCACACACACACACACACACAGACATATATTTACAGAGAGATGTATAATATATGTGTGTGTGTGTGTGTGTGTGTATTCCTGTAATGTTTACATAACATAGAAATTACTTTATTGTATCTACATAAAATACAAACTTAATCATACACTCATAGCAGAGTATTGAAAAATGCATTTTCTTTATAATTTCTAGAGTTCATTGTTTCCCTAAGTACTAAATACTGAGTGGAGGTGAAAAACAAAAAAACTTGGATTTGCTCTCTGACCCTGGTATATGACCATGACCTTTTATATAGTTCTAATTCCCAAAATACAATCCTGTACTGCATAACATTTCCATCAACAATGGGCTAAATATACAACAGTGGTCCCATAAGATTATAATATTATGTTTTTACTGTACCTTTCTATGCTTGGATATGTTTAGATACACAGTAATTGCCATTGTGTTATACTTCCTACGATATTAGTACAGTAATGTGCTGTGCAGGTTTGTAGCCTAGGAGCAATAGGGCTATACATATACCCTAGGTGTTTAGTGGGCTATATGTATATATCAGCCATGTTTGTACAGGTACCCTCTATGATACTTGCATGACAAAACTGCCTAACAATGCATTTCTCATAATGTATACCTGTTGTTAAGTGATGCATATAACGAGGCTTATTTGTAACAATATGGATGGAACTAGTGGAGATTTTTAGGTTAAGTGAAATAAGCCAGGCCCAGAAAGACAAACATCACATGTTCTTACTTATTTGTGGGATCTAAAAATCAAAACAATGAACTCATGGACATGGTAGAAGGATGGTTAGTAGAAGGATGGTTACCAGAGGCTGAGAAGAGTTTTGATATGGTGGGGGGATGTGGGGATGGTTAATTGGTAACCCCCCCCAAAAAATGAATAAGTCCTAGTATTTGATCACACAACAGGGTTACTATAGTCAATAGTAATGGAATTGTGTATTTTAATATAACCAAGAATATCATTGGATTGCTTGTAACTCCAAGGATGAATGCTTGAGGAGATGGATACCTCATTCTCTGTGATGTGCTTATTTCACATTGCCTGCCTATACCAACTAAATACCCCATAAATATATACCTACTATGTACCCGCAAAAATTAAAAATACGGAAATTAAAAAAAGAAAAAAAACTAATAGGAAGCTTAGGAAGGGAATACTTCCAAGATTGTTTCCAATTTTAAAATTCTATTACGCAGATAAACTTCTACAGCTGGTTAAAATTGAGTAACAAGAAGTAGATTTACCATGCTATACAAAATAATCAATGTAGGTAAAATATATGAATCAGTGATTTTCAAGAAACTGAACATCAGGTAATGAAGGACAATGAGGCCTGAAAAATAGAAAATAAACCAAGGAAGCCATGTTATTACCCCAGCTTATGGCCTAGGGAAAATTTCCAGGCCACAGCTGGGGAATAAGAACCCAGGTAGGGTCCCAAGCCAGCTAGAGTATTTAAAATAGAGTATTGGAGAGTACTTCAGAGTATTGGAGTATTTTTGAAAATTCAAAAATATACAGCACCCAACCAAGTAAAATTCACAATGTTGGGTATCTACTCAAAGATTACCAGACAGGCAAAGAAGCATAATAAAATGAAAATTAGTAACAATAACCCACACTGACAGAGATGCTAAAATTAGCCAACAAGAACATTAAAACAGTTTTAATAACTATGTTTAAGATGCTTAACAAGGCCGGGCATGGTGGCTCACACCTGTAATCCCAGCACTTTGGGAGGCCAAGGCTGGCATATCATGAGGTCCGGAGTTCAAGACCAGCCTGGCCTATATGGTGAAACCCTGTCTCTACTGGGAAAATATGTGTGTGTGTGTGTGTGTGTGTATAAATTAGCCAGGCTTCGTGGCATACACCTGTGTAGTCCCAGCTACTCAGGAGCCTGAGGCAGGAGAACCACTTGAACGTGGGAGGTAGAGGTTTCAGTGAGCCAAGATCACGCCACTGCACTCCAACCTGGGTGACAGAGTGAGACTCTGCCTAAAAAATAAAACAAAATAAATGCTTAACAAGCTGAGATATGGAAGGTATAAAAGGGCCCAAGTCAAACTTCTGGAGATGAAAACCACAATGTCTGATGGAGTTAACAAAGGATGAAATTAATGGATGATTAAATATTCCAAAAAACATACATTAGTTTGAATTTGAGGGCATGGAAATGGGCTGGGCATGATGGCTCATGCCTGTAGTCCTAGCACTTTGGGAGGTTGAGGTGGGTGGATCACGAGGTCAGGAGTTTAAGACCAGCCTGGCCAATATGATGAAACCCCCGTCTACTAAACATACAAAAATTAAGGTGTGATGGCATGTACCTATAATCTCAGCTACTCTCAGTTACTCAGGAGGCTGAGACAGGAGAATCACTTGAACCCAAGAGGCAGTGATTGCAGTGAGCTGAGATCATGCCACTGCACTGCACTTCAGCCTGGACAACAGAGCAAGACTCCATCTCAAAAAAAAAAAAAAAAAAGAAATGGAAATATTTAAAATGAAACATGGAAAGAAAATAATTTTTTTTTAATGAAGAGTATCATTAAAGCTGTAGGACAATATCAAGTGGCCTAATGTGTATGTAATTGGTGTCCTGGAAGGGACAACAAAAGTAAAAGGGACAAAAATGAGAGAAAAAAGGAGAACAGAGAAGAAAATTTTCCGTATTTGATGATAACTATTAAAATGAACCCATAGATCCAAAGTGCTCAACAAACCCTGAGCACAAAAAAAAACATGAAAAAAAACTACACTAAGACACATGAATCAAATTGCTTATTTGATTAGAACATCTTAGAAGCATTCGTAACAGGGCTTATGATATATAAAGGAACAAAGACAAGGAAGATTTGTTAGAAATAAGTGAGAAGAGAGTGGAAAATCTTTTAAGTACTGAAAAGAAACCGTCAACCTAAAATTCTATTCCTAAAGAAAATCTCTTTCAAAAACAAAGGCAAAATAGAGTTTTTCAGACTTATAAACACTAAAAGAATGAATCACTAACAGACCCATCCTACAAGAAATGTTTAAGAAAGTCCAACATTATGCTCAAAGGAAATGCTCATTGGAGCAATTTGGATTTTCTGTTTTTTGATTAGGGATACTTATATTCTATAAGTACTAAAAAAATCTGAAATCTGAAACACTTCTGGTCCCAAGCATTTTGGATAAGGGATATTCAGCCTGTACTTATAGGGACATTTATAGCAGTAAACAGAATCCTCAGCTTCCACCTAAGAAGCTAGAAAAAGATGAGCAAATATAATGCAACATAAGCAGGGAAAGGAAATAAAGATCAGAATAGAAATAAAATAAATGGAAAACAGAAAAAATAGTAGTAGAGAAAATCAGTGAAATAAAAATCTGATTCTTTGAGAAGAGCAATAAAAATGATAAACATCGAGAAACTGAATTAGGTCTTATGGAGAAGCCCCCGCGTAATGAGGAGACCCCATCTTCAGAACCAATGGAGGAAGAGGAAGATGATGACTTGGAGCTGTTTGGTGGCTATGATAGTTTCCGTAGTTATAACAGCAGTGTGGGCAGTGAGAGCAGCTCCACTGGAGGAGTCAAGTGAAGCAGAGAATGAGGATCGGGAAGCAGGGGAACTGCCAACCTCCCCACTGCATTTGCTCAGCCCTGGGACTCCTCGATCCTTGGATGGCAGTGGTTCTGAGCCAGCTGTCTGTGAGATGTGTGGTATCGTGGGTACAAGGGAAGCCTTCTTCTCCAAGACCAAGAGGTTCTGCAGCGTCTCCTGCTCCAGGAGCTACTCCTCCAACTCCCAAGAAAGCCAGTATCTTGGCCAGATTACAGGGAAAACCACCAACCAAGAAAGCCAAAGTCCTGCACAAAGCCGCCTGGTCTGCCAAAATCGGAGCCTTCCTCCACTCCCAGGGGACAGGACAGCTGGCAGATGGGACACCAACAGGACAAGAAGCGCTGGTCCTGGGCTTCAACTGGGGGAAGTTCTTGAAGGATCACAGTTACAAGGCTGCTCCTGTCAGCTGTTTCAAGCACGTCCCCCTCTATGACCAGTGGGAGGATGTGATGAAAGGGATGAATGTGGAGGTGCTCAACAGTGACGCTGTGCTCCCCAGCTGGGTGTACTGGATCGCCTCTGTCATCCAGACAGCAGGGTATCGGGTGCTGCTTCGGTATGAAGGCTTTGAAAGTGACGCCAGCCATGACTTCTGGTGCAACCTGGGGACTGTGGATATTCACCCCATTGGCTGGTGTGCCATCAACAGCAAGATCCTAGTGCCCCCATGGACCATCCATGCCAAGTTCACTGACTGGAAGGGCTACCTCATGAAACAGCTGGTGGGCTCCAGGACGTTTCCCGTGGATTTCCACATCAAGATGGTGGAGAGCATGAAGTACCCCTTTAGGCAGGGCATGTGGCTGGAGGTGGTGGACAAGTCCCAGGTATCATGAACTCGCATGGCTGTGGTGGACACGGTCATCGGGGGTCGCCTATGGCTCCTCTACGAGGATGGTGACAGTGACGACGACTTCTGGTGCCACATGTGGAGCCCCCTGATTCACCCAGTGGGTTGGTCACGACGTGTGGGCCATGGCATCAAGATGTCAGAGAGGCGAAGTGACATGGCCCATCATCCCACCTTCCGCAAAATCTACTGTGATGCCGTTCCTTACCTGTTCAAGAAGGTACGAGCTGTCTACACAGAAGGTGGTTGGTTTGAGGAAGGGATGAAGCTGGAAGCCATTGACCCTTTGAATCTGGGCAATATCTGCATGGCAACTGTCTGTAAGGTTCTTCTGGATGGATACCTGATGATCTGTGTGGATGGGGGGCCCTCCACAGATGGCTCAGACTGGTTCTGCTACCACGCCTCTTCCCACGCCATCTTCCCAGCCAACTTCTGTCAGAAGAATGACATTGAGCTCACACCCCCAAAAGGTTATGAGGCACAGACTTTCCACTGGGAGAACTACTTGGAGAAGACCAAGTCAAAACCTGCTCCATCAAGACTCTTCAACATGGATTGCCCAAACCATGGCTTCAAGGTGGGCATGAAGCTGGAGACCGTGGACCTGATGGAGCCCCAGCTCATCTGTGTGGCCATGGTGAAACGGGTGGTGCATCGGCTCCTCAGTATCCACTTTGATGGCTGGAACAGCGAGTATGACCAGTGGGAGGACTGTGAGTCCCCGGACATCTATCCCGTCGGCTGGTGTGAGGTCACCGGCTACCGGCTCCAGCCTCCTGTGAATGCAGAACCGGCCACACCTCTGAAGGCCAAAGAGGCCACAAAGAAGAAAAAGAAATAGTTTGGGAAGAAAAGGAAAAGAATCCCACTGACCAAGACGTGGCCCCTCAGAACAGGGTCCAAGAAGCCCCTGCTGGAGGACGACCCTCAGGGCACCAGGAAGATCTCATCAGAGCCCACCCTGGCGAGATTATTGCTGTGCATGTGAAGGAAGAGCATGTAGATTTGGCCTCATCCAACAAGGCTTCAAGTCCAGAGCTGCCTGTCCCCGTCGAGAACATTAAGCAGGAAACGGACAACTGAGCCCTCCTGCCGCCAGCCTGGCTCCTAGCTTGGAAGCCAGCCTTGGGGTTTCTCCACCACCACCACTGAGCCTCTGCATGTGTAAATTTTGCCTGGTGCTGTGAAGGCTGGACAGTGGAGGACCTGCTGGGGTCTCCTGGGACCCGCCTGTTGCCTCTGCGATCCCCTGTGGAAAGGCCTAGGTGACTGGGGCTGCCTGAGGTCTTCTGCGAACCACCTCCAGCCAGAGTTCCTGATGCTGGACTGTCAGCTGCCCGGGTGCCTGCTTTTCCTTAAGATGACCTTCCCACCACAGCCCTTAGTTCCCAGGTTGGGGCCACCCCTGGCACACTGGAAGACAAGACAGTGCACTCTGTGTCTACCCAAACGACTCATGTAAATTAAGTTCTAGAGCAGCTCTCTGAGCAGAATAAGGTCCCCTTACAGTGAGTCGTGATGGGAGCAGCCTCTGCCTCAAAAATTCGCCAAGCAGAGTGCCTCTCAGCCTCATGTGTTGGTCCTCTGCCCCTCCTAAGCTCCCCAGGGATGTTGGGAACCCAGCTTGGCTGGGCAGCTGAGAAGCAGTGACCAGGATGTGGATTTTGGTGACCCATGTGGTGGCCTTGAGCTGTTTGCTCTGTTCGCATGAGCGTGGACTCCCATTTTTTAAAGGAAATGCCCCAGGAAGGACAGTGGGAGGAAGATGACCTGAGGGTGCACCCTGGCTCTGCTCCTGGAGCCCTGCTAAAAGTCATTCATCCAAGAGTGCCTTGTAGTTAAAGGATTCAGTTCCAACTGGAGCCTCTGGGAGAGCTGGGCATGTATGCTGTCTTGGCCTTGTGTTCCTACCGGTATGAAGATCCATGAACACAGGGCCCTCAGGGCCAGGTGACAGAGCTGGAGGACACATCTGGCTGCCACTGCAGCCTCACTGGGCTTTCCAGACTTTGTGTATGAAAAATTAAATCCCCTACTTGCCTGGAAAAAAAAAATGATAAACATCTTGACAGATTGATGAGGAAAAAAAGTAAAAAGAGAAGAAACAAGTGATCAGCATCAGAAATGAATGTTGGGATATCATGACAAAATTTACAAATATTAGATAACAAGACAGTATTATGAACAGCATTATGCCAATAAAGCCTACACCTTAGATAAAATGGGCAGTTTCAACAGGAGGTACAAAATACCAAAGCTCACTCTATCAGAAATAACCTGAATAATCTTATATGCATTCTCACAAAGAAAACTCCAAGCCAGATGATGCCATGCAATAAATTCTACCAAACATGTAAGAAAGAAATAATGCCAATTCTATATTTACCTTTCTAGAAAATTGAAGAGCAAGGAATAAATCCTGAATCATTTTGGGTCAGCATTATTCTGACATCAAAATCAGACAACAATCTTACAAAAGAACAAAACTGCAGACTGATGTTCTTCATAAACCTAGGTGCAAACGGTAAAAGGTTTAGCAAAGGTAATTCAGTAATATATTTTAAAAGTTAATACATCGTAAACAAGTGGAGTTTATTCTAGAACGCAGTATTGGTTTAATACCCAAAAAATCATTTCATCTTAACAACTAAAAAAGAAAAACCACATTATCATCACACGCAGAAAATCCAACATTCATTCTGATAAAAATTCTGAGCATGCTAGGAATAGAAAGGAACTTGGTCAACCTGATAAAGGGTACCTGTGAAACCTTCGACTAAATTATACTTACTGGTGAAAGACTGGATGTTTTTTCCCTCCAAGGTCAGCCAAACGGTGATGAAATCTGCTTTTACTACTTCTTTTCAGCATTGCCCTTCCTAGAAGTTTCAGCCAGTGCAAAAAGAGAAAATGATGAAAATAAAAGGCATCTGGATTAGAAAGTAGGAAGTAGAACTCTCTTTATTCACAGACCACATTATCATCTATATAGAAAAAGAAATAAAATCTGCAAAGTAGCTACTAGAACTAATAAGTGAAGCTAGAAAGATTGTAAGATTCAAGATCAATATACAAAAATAAATTGGATTTCTGTATACTAGCAATGGACAATCAGAAGTTAAAAGAAAATAACGTACAATAACCTAAAGAATATGACATTCTTAGGGATGAATATGACAAAAGATGCATAAATACCTGCGTACATAAAACTACAAAATGCTCAGAGAAATTAAAAACCCAAATAAATGGAGAACTATACCATGTTCATAGACTAGAAGACTCAATACTGTTAAGATGATAATTCTTTGCATATTGACCTATAGATTCAGTACAACCCTAGTCACAGTTTGAGGAGGGTTTTATTAAAGAAGTTGACATACTGATTCTAAAATTGCTGTGGAAATGGAAAATACCTAGAATAGTCAAACAACTTTGAATACCTGATCTATAGTGACAGAAAGCAGATCAGTGTTTGTGAGGGTTGTGGGGAAGAATGGGAAAATTATAAAGGAGCACCACATATGGAAACTTTTAGGGATAATGAATATGTTTAATATCTTGATTGTGCTTAGTAAAATATTTCTGATTTTTATCAGAAAATAAATTAGAAATTTTCTGGCCGGGCCTGGTGGCTCACGCCTGTAATCCCAGCACTTTGGGAGGCCGAAGCAGGTGGATCACTTGAGGCTAGGAGTTCAAGACCAGGCTGGCCAACACGGTGAAACCCCATCTTTACTAAAAAATACAAATATTAGCCGGGCATAGTGGTGCATGCCTGTAATCTCAGCTACTTGGGAGGCTGAGGCAGGAGAATCGCTTGAACTCAGGAGGTGAAGGCTGCAGTGAGCCAAGATCACTGCCACTGCACTGCAGCCTAGACAAGAGAGTGAGACTGTCTCAAAACAAAAACAAATCTTTAAAATATAGTAAACATTTATTTACTTATCTAGGTTTTTTCTCCCCCCAAAATACATTCTAGTTTACCTTATTCAATAAGAATTTAAGTAGAAAATTTAGGAGTCATGTTTATGGTTTTGCTGATACATTCTTTTTTTTTTTTTTTTTTTTTGTAACTTTTAGGGTCTTGCCTATTTGCATACTAAAGGCAAAATGCATAGAGATATCAAAGTAAGTTCATTTAATACATTTAAACTGACAATTCTATTGGAAGAAATTTTATGATGCTAATATTTGTACTTTTGTTCTAGGGTGCTAATATTTTATTGACAGACCATGGCGATGTAAAATTAGGTATGTTATTTCAAATTCCTAAGATTTGTTTCCAAAAATGTTAATGATACTTTAATAAAATTTTTATTAAATTTTAAATGAGAATTAGTATTATATAAATTTAATTTTCATATTTAGTCACAATAATGTTTAAATTTTGACCCAGTAATTTTACTCCCAAAACTCGTTTTAAGAAAATTAAACCTAAAGATGGAAAATCAATATTCACTGAAGCATTAATCATATTACTTATGTTAGAAAAAATGCAAACATAGTCTAGCAATAAAATAACTGTTAAACTGTGATAAATCTATTTAATCATTAATATCTGTGAATGTGTAAGAGAAAAACTGGTATGTTAAATGACAAAACTGGACTGTATATTTATTACTTTTCAGCCACGCATTTTTGTGTGTTATTTTATTTGTTTTGAAAGAGGTGGTCTTACTGTGTTATCCAGGCTGGAGTGCAGTGGCTCAGTCATAGCTTACTGCATACTTGGACTCCTGGCCTCAGGTGATCCTCCCGCCTAATCCTTCCAAGTAACAGGGATTACAATACAATCTTGTTTAACTACAACACTAAGAACATTTATATTTAGAAAAAATGACTTAAAAAAAATAGTACCAGAATGCTATCCTTGTTGTATTAGGATAAAAGGAATACAGGTGTGTGCTTTTCCCATGTATTTTATTTTTGGGCTTTTTTTCTCTTTTCCTCAAATACACTTTATTGTGTTTATAATAAAAATATTTTTTAACTTTGTTCTTAATAAAGTACATTTTCATTGTAGTAAAGTACAATAAATTGTTTTTAGTATGTTATGAACTGAGCAAGAAGAGATTTAGGTGTTTAATTTGTGTACATTTTTCTAACAATAATTGAATTATTGATAATGCCATGTCTAAGGGTGAAAGTAAAAATGTCGTTTGGTGTATTGTAAGGAACTAAAATTTTCTGTTTTTATCCTCACCAGCTGACTTTGGTGTGGCTGCAAAAATAACAGCTACTATTGCAAAACGAAAATCCTTCATTGGCACCCCTTATTGGTAAGACATTACTGTGATTGAATTTTATACATTTTCATTTCTTATGGTTTAGTGATCAACTTCGATACTTGGTAAGAGAAGTGATAATTAAAAGTCGGGAGATTTGCATGCTCCTTGATACTACCAGAAGTTCTGGTTGGGTTAGGGAAGTTTGATGCTTGTATTTATGGCTCAGCCTTTTCTGTTAAAGTGCTAATAATTTTTACTATTCCTGTGATTTTATATTGAGAGGACTCTTAGGTATGAAATTTTCAAAAGATTTGCCCACTATAATTTTCTTACCTTTTCTTCCGGTATTGCTTTTATTTTAATCTAGGACTTTTCCACTTTATTTTAAGTTCCAGGATACATGTGCAGGATGTCCAGGTTTATTACAGAGGTAAAAGTGTGCCATGGTGGTTTGCTGTACCTATTGACCTATCACTTAAATTTAATCTATGATTCCTCTTTCTGCTTGTTAAAACTCTTGCATCCTACCTACCGTTAGTCTCACCAGTCACTGGACTCTTAGTGCATTCCACCAATTACTGACAAAATAATCTTTCTGAAACACTGCTTTCATTATTGACAGATGATAGAAATAAAAAGCCTCATAATAAAACCTTAATATGTAAAATAGTGAATGTTATAAAAGGTGACATTCACAGTTTGTGTGAAAGGTTGGATTCTTTTTTTTTTCTGAGACAGGGTTTCATTCTGTCACCCTGGCTGTAGTACGGTGGCACAATCACAGCGCACTGCAACCTTGACGTCCCAAGCCCGGATGATCCTCCCATTTCAGCTCCCTAAATAGCTGAGACTACAGCCATGCAACATCACAGCCAGCTAATTTTTTGTAATTTTTTTTTTTGTAGAGACAGAGTTTCATCTAAAACTCCTGGGCTGGTCTAAAACTCGTGGCCTCAAGTGATCCACCTCCCAAAGTGCTGGGATTACAGGCTTGAGCCACTACACCCATCCAATTTGGATTCTTTAATGTGCAGTGTTTGGGTGATTTATTATTTGAAAAGAAATTTAAGTAGCTCCATACCTCATCCCTGGTGTCAAAAAATCATTTGAAAATAAATTTAAGTAGCTCCGTACTTCATACCTGATGTCAAAATTCATATATGGAAATAGTTAAGTATAAAAGTGAAACCAAAAAACCATCAGTAACTATCTGTTTTAAGATTTGCGGAAAGCTTTCTGAGCATAAAGTATAAAACCTTAAAAGGAAAGGTTGATAGATTTAACTACATGAAAATTTAAAACTTGTGTATGTCCACCAGCTTAAACAAAATTAAAAGTCAAGTAAAAAAAACAGGAAATATTGTCTAAAATATGCCAAACTAGGTTTAATAGTTTTATTGTGTGAGTTCGTATAAGTCGATAAAAAGAATGTCTCATTGGAAGCAGTTAGTAAAATAATACATATTAGATATCATAAAGTATGATAATGGTTCACAAGAAGTTAACAGATTTCATTTTTTTTTCCTAAACCAACTCTATGAGCAAAGAAAATGACATAGACTTATTTGTGCCTAAAGAGAGTGCTTTTTCCATAAAAAAGAAAGGTAGAATATATCTAATAGGTGAGGGGTAACCAAAATTTTCACATGAGGCCAGTAAGAAAACCCCCAGAATTAACAGACTCAGTTTTCAAATGACATATTAATCACAGACCAATTAAAAAGCTACATACAAATCTTACCTACATATTAGAAATACATTTTAATTCATCCATAAATCCAACAACCTTTTAGACATATAAAGAAAAATTTGTATTAACTGACAAGAAAAAAAGCACTATGTATTGAATTCATTTACTGTCACTTAAAGGGTGTCTACAGAATTCTCACATCAATATTTTCATGGAAAATACGTGGAAATCAATAGTCAACACATCCTCATTAAGAATGAACCACTGATAAACACAATATGTTTATAACTTCTATAACATTTCATTCACGTGCATGTTTTGAGCATTGGGCAATGTTTAATTTACATTGGGCTTTCCAAATTATATACGATTTCTTTTCAATAGGCATTTTCAGATGACTTTTGAAATAATTATTAAAATGGAAATTTAAGTGTTTTGCCAATTACTAGGATTTAGATACAGAATACATTTTTATATTTATAAGATTCATCTCCAGTGTGCATATATCATCTGTCTTTGAATGTACCTGAGAGAAACAAAGGCATCTCTACATTCTGTATGTTTACAGGGTTTTTCAGAAATTGACTTCTTATCATATCTTCAACTAGAACTGGAAACACTGAGGACATTACCACATTGTTTACATGCATATTTTCCCCCAGTATAAGTTTTTTATATTTTCAAAGGGAAGTGGCAAAATTACATGCCTTTCCATATTCTTTACATTCATAGGGTTTTCTTCAGTCTGAATTTTTTTATGTGTTCAAAGGGAACTGGAACATATAAAGGCTTTACAACATTTCTCATATACATATGGTTTTTCCTCCAGTATGATTTTTTTCGTGTTTTCAAAGATAACCCAGGTAATTGAATGTTTTCTCACATTTCCTACATTCCTAGGATTTCTATGAAGTATAAGTTATTTCATGTTTACGTACAGAACTGGAATATCTGAAGGCTTTATTGCATTTCTTATAATCATAGGGTTTCTCTCCAGTATGAATTCAATCATGTGTTTAAAGGTAATTGAAAGGACTAAAGGGTTTACCACATTTTTTGTTTACCTTTATAGGGTTTCTCCCCAGTATGAGTTTTTTCATGTGTTCGAAGGGAACTGATGTCTGAAGGTTTTACCACAATTTTTACATTTATAAAGTTTATCACCAGTATGAGTTCTCTCCTGTGTTTCAAGGTAACTGAAACAACTGAAGGATTTACCACATTTTTGTCATTCACAGGGTTTCTCTCCAGTATGAGCTCTTTCATGTCTTCTAAGGGAACTGTATTGATTGAAGGCTTTACCACATTTTTTATAGTCAGAGGATTTCTCTCTAGTATGGTGTTACTCATGTGTTCACATGGAGCAGAAATGACTGAAGACTTTACCACATTTTTTACGTTTATAGGGTTTCTGTCTAGTATTATTTCTTTTATATTTCTGAAGAGAACTAGAAAGAGTAACTCCCTTACAATATTTCTTATATGTAAAAGATATTTCACCAGTGTGAGCCCTTTTATGTTCTTGAAAGTAACTAAGACAACTTAATTCTTTCCCACATCCTACATTCATAGGGTTTTTCTCCAGTATGAGCACTTTTGTGGTTATGAAGGTATCTGGAATATCCAAAGGCTTTATCACATTTCTTTCATTTGTGAGGTTTTTCTCCACTGTGAGTTCTTTTATGTTTTTGAAAAGAACTGCAGAATCTCAACATTTCTTCCATTCCATTAATTCCACAATGGTTGTTCTCCATTGTGAATTACTTTATGTCTTTGAATAGGGAAACTTAAATGTTTTCCCATGTTTCTTACATTATGTAATGGCCTGCAGGTGATGGCTTGGAGCATGCAACTCCTATGGACTTCTTTTTTCCTACTTTACTCTCACTGCTTCATTTAACTAATATAAATATAAATAAATAAATATATATATATATAAAATAATGTTTCCCTTGATGAACAAATTAAATGACTTTTTTCTAGCAAATTGGGAAATGTTTGGAATTATGCTCATACTTACTATCACTAGGTGTTTGGCAGTGAAAGTAGAAACTGATAGAATGGAGTTTAGGGAGGGAGAGCATCAGGAAGAAGAGCTAATGGATACTGGGCTTAATATTATTACCAAGGTAATGGATTGATC